TGCTCAAAGCCTTATAACTACCCAAAGCAGCTATCAAAGAAATTATTCACATGATTGTGCTCTTTCATTAAAATGCCTCTAGAGAAATTGTCACTGAAATTCTGCACCTGAAGATGCAGGGTTATTTATCAATTTCATGGGCAACTGCTACAATCATCAACAGCTGGAATGATGAATCCAGAAGGAATATTTTTTCCTCTAGACTTTTTCTAAGAACTATTAAGATCTGGAAGTCAGTGGTGGATGTTGGGGCAGGGTGTGAAATCATTCACATTATCCCTAGCAAGGTTTTGCTAGGGTTTTGCAAAAACAAAAAACAAAACAAAACAAAGAAAACAAAATCCATGCACTTCTGTAACACTGATTTTTCCTCCCCTCCCTACCCCACTTACCTCTCCTGAAACAAACCCCCAATACTTGACTTTGAAGGCTACAGGTCAACACAATAAGGAAGCTTCTGCTCTTTTTCTTCTGATTCCCCTATTTTCTGCCCAACTTCTCTACTCAGGGCAAAAAACATTAGAGCAGATTCTGAGTCCTGACCATATGCTGGCACTTATACTTTTAATTCGGTGTTGAAGAGGTATGAAAAAATCATAATCCCTAATGTTGCTTTCTTTTCCTCAAAAAAAAAAAAACCAAACAAATAACCGAATGCCAACACAAGTCAGAATATATAAGAACTTTATATTAGAAAGACAGTTATTCTTGTCCCAGCATTATCTCTTACTATGTGCAACAGGGCAGTATGGGATAATATATATATATGTATCTATATACTATATTATAACATAATATAATGTTATAGTACATTATATTATATTATATTATATTATATTATATATGGAGAGAGAGAGACAGAGAATTAAATTTGCCTTCAAAAAGCCTAGGTTGAAATCCCAATTTGGGTGCTTACGAGGAATGTGACCTTAGTTAAATCATTTAAGTTCTCTGGGCCTCAGTTTTCTTATCTGTTAAATGAGATCTGAAATTCTCTACGGTACCTTCAAGCTTTATAATTCTCTTTTTTCTCTTCAGACAATCCACTCCAGCTATATTGGTTTATTCACTGCCTCCCAGACAATATCTGGAGGCAGCCTGGAGGCAGGGGAACATTACAAGAACTTAAAGAAATCATTCCTAACACCCAAGTTGTGGTCAAGAACAAGCCTTTACTACAATAGTTGTTTTTCAGTTGTGTCTGACTCTTGACAACCTTATTTGGGGTTTTCTTGGCAAAGATACTGGAGGGGTTTGCCATTTCCTTCTCCAGCTCATTTTACACATGAACTGAGGCAAACAGGGTTATAAGTGACTTGCCCAGGGTCACACAGTTAATAAGTGTCTAAGTCCAGATTTGAACTCAGGTCTTCCTGATTCCAGGCCCAGTATTCTATTCATTAAGCCACCTAGGTGCCTCCACTACTAGTAGTAGTAGTACTACAATATTTACTACAATATTGAGAGAGAGAGAGAGAACTGAGGCTGAAGATTTCTGAGATTTCTTTCCTTAGACAATAAGGTTCACAGAGAGAGTGTGTGTGTATATATACACATGGATGTGTATGTATATTTATGTATATGTACATACACATATTATACACACACACACACACACACAGACACACACTCAGTTGTGAAAACAGAATTTATGGCCTGAACAGCAGAAATAGTTGGCAGAATACAAAAACAACCATGGTGGCAAGCCTCATCAAAGAAACAAAATTTAGAATCGCTGGTTGGGAATGCAAATACAGGGAAGTGAAGCACAATTAAGGAAGAGATAGAAAACACAATAACATTAAACTAAAGTATAGTCTCCCTACAAGGAAAATATATTGATCTCAAAGACAGGATGAGAAGAGAACTTAAATATGGTAGGTCTCTCAGAGGAACACTACAAGTCAAAAAACCACAACATTATAATGCAGGGAAGAATAGAAAAAAACCTGCAGAACTTCTGAACACAGAACACCAAGTGCCAGTTGAAAGAATCTACAGATTGCCTCCAAACAAACAAAAACTATACTGCAAACTCCAGGACACGTGGTAATTAAATTTAACAATAACACTGAAAAATAACACATTATACAAGTGATGAAAAGAAAGACCTTCAGATAGAAAGGGGAAAAAATTGAATTAACACAAGACCTACCAAAAACCACAGTAGGAAATAGAATAATGTGTTCTAAAGAGCAAAGGAGCTCAAGATAAAACTCAAGGTGATCAACCCTGCAAATCTGAGCCTGCCTATTTATGAAAAAAGATGGATATTCACTTAAAAAGAACATTCTTTTTTTTTGGCCAGGGTCACACAGCTAGTAAGTGCCAAGTATCTGAGGCCAGATTTGAACTCAGGATCTCCCAACTCCAAGGCCAGCGCTCTATCCACTGCACCACCTACCTGCCCCCTCAAAGTATTCTTAAAAAGAAAAACAAACCTGAAGACATAATTTGCTTCTCACTCACCAGACACAGAAATACAAAAAGCAAACAAATATAGCATCCAGGGATGGCAGCAGCAATAAAAAAAAATACCGAGAAACTGGTGAGAGATTTCTTTCTCAAAGCACACGAGGAGAAAAGGCTGGAAGCCAAGGTCCAGTGGAAATGATGGTGGAGAAACGGGCCTGAAACATTGCGGGCTAAGCCTCACAACACCCTACCTATGGGCGAATCAATGTGTTTTTGTGAGATTAAATTACATAATGGTAAGGTACAATAAAGGGGAAAGAGGAGGAAAAACTCGGATGGGAATAACTGATGTTCCCTAATAAGTCAAAGGAGGCGGCTCAGTGGATAGAACCCTGGGCCTGGAGTCAAGAAGACCTGAGTTCAAAACTGGCCTCTGTGACTGAATAATGAATCATTTTATTAATCATGATAGCAGTAATTAATAAAAGGAGTCAGTGGAACTCTCAAATGCCAAAGACCCCTTATGGAACCCATTCAATGCTTATATGCCTTTGGAAGAGTGGGTGTTCCTGAGAGTAGCAATCCACTCTGATTAACAATTAATGAGAGGATGAACACTATAATGAGAGGTGGGCTTATTCTAATGAGAGTCGGGGGGACATGACTCTGATCTCTCAGTCTTGGTCAAAGAGATTTATCTATACCCATATCACCTCATCTAGGGTAATCTAGACAAAAGGAGGAATCCACTTTTACCTAGTAAAATGCTATGAGCTGGAATATATCCATTCACCTAAAATAAAATTTCTTTACCTTTTGATCAGATCTGAGTTTTCCAGTTGGGTCATTTTCACCCAAGATTTCATCTCATTATGAGCCCTGCACTTCAAAGGCTGCCTGAATAACCTACAGGGGCTGATGTCTAAATGAAGAAAAGGAAGGGAAAAACTTAAGTTCTAATTCAATAATTGGCTATTAATATAGGATAGAAATAATAATTTCTTTCATCTCAAACATTTACTAGCTGTGTGACTTTAGGCAAGTCACTTAACCTCTGATTGCCTTAATCCCCTGGAGAAGGAAATGGCAAACCACTACATTATCCTTTCTAAGAAGACCCGATGGACAGTAGGATAATGGGGTCACAAAGAGTCAGACATGACTGAATGACTAAATAATAATCAAGTCAAAGGCTAACAACAAAGGACAAATAACTCCTGTAGTCTCTCTGGAGAAGAGCCTACAGAGAACTGGAGAGGAGACAAAAGAGGAGGATTCCTAAAAGTGGAAAAAGGGCAGAAATCTGGTTTCAATGGTAGGAGGAGGTAAACACTGATGAATGCTAACATGGGAGAAGAGAGATATTCTATAAAGGGAGTTGGGGATCTTAACTATAGGTTTAATCTGAAGTGATTTGGTGCTTAGAAAGACAACTCACCCTGGCTAACAATATAAGGGGAATCAGAGTGGCTGGGGACAACTGACCCAGAAGAGTAGGAAGGCATGGACCCAGGGAGGAGATTTCAAGGCAAATGGGGGAAAAAATTACCAAGGGAAGGGCAAAGGTCTATAACAAATTGCACAATCAGGGAGAAAATTCCTACAATGAGGCAATATTCTCTTTATCACTTGGAGGAAATCGTATTTCGAAGAGTGAAGGACAATAGAAAACAAGGGGGTGGAGGGGAGGAACCAGATAATAATAATAACATAGAAACTATTTAGAAGAAGGAACCCAAAATGGATACCTTAGAAGCTTTACTTGTTTATGGGCTACTGTGAATCCTTTGTGCTTTATGCATTCAATCTGTGACACAAAATAAAGGAATCTTACATATGAAATGCAAGTATCTTATATCTTACCTTCAGTGTTTATGGGAGCCAGGGTCCCTTTACCTATATCTATGGAGACCTAGACACAAACTAGATTCTGAAGTTCCCAGAGGAAATTCTGCATGGAGGCAAAATGTATCAGTTATGACTTGGGGTGCAGGTTACTTAGATTGAACCCAGATTGTGTAAGCTCAGAGCCTGGGACCCTGAACCATAGCTTATATTTGTTTACTAGCATGCCTGAAAAAGCTAGAGTAAGAAAATCAAACTCCCATAGTAAGATGAATTCTCTTTAAACCCTGGAAAGGAAGGATTGTTCTCCTAAAAATAAACTGAAGTGCTAAATAAAAGCTCTCCAGAACATAGGCTCAGATTCTTGTTAAAAATTGCTAGAAGAAATTCTGGGCATCGTGATAGATTTATTTCACCCATTGCAAAGTTATTGGAGATCACTCAGTGGCTCCCAGAATGCCACCTGAGCTCCAAGATATCAAATGCAAGGTTACCAATTCTATTTATCCTACTAATCACAATCTGTCATTTGATTAGACAAAAAGAAAACAAACCTACCCTACTTGTAGATTTGCAGGTCTATTGTACAATGCGTAGTAAAAGAAATTTCTAGAAATGTTAGAAACTTTCCCACTTGTTTCTCTACTCCATAGATTTTTTTTTAATCACCTTATTGTTCTCACAGGTCTCTGGCCAAAGTCCAGAGAGGGCAGTTATGGTCTTAATAATAAACTTCATACCAAACTCTTGTTCATTTGCAGAAAAGGAGTCACTGGCCAGCTCTGCTCCCGCTAACATATTCATTAGTGTCCCTGGTGATTCCTGTCTCCACTGTTTCCTATTATCTGAAGCGTCTTCAATTATAATAACCTGGCCATCTGGAAGAAGAAGTGTTAACAGGAAAAAAAAATTAAAATAACTGTTTTTTCTTTCTTTTTAATAGAATCACAAAATGTTAGAACTGGAAAGGGTCCTTAGAGAATATTTAGTTCAGCTTCCTCATTTTATAGAATAGGAGGCCAAGGATAGGGAAGTAAAGTGATCTAGTGAAAGACACACACACACACACACACACACACACACCAAAAACCATAGTAGGAAACAGAATAATGTGTGCTAAAGAGCAAAGGAGCTCAAGATAAAACTCAAGGTGACCAACCTTGCAAATCTGAGCCTACCTATTAATGAGAAAAGGCGGATATTCAATTAAAAAGAGATAATCAAAGCATTCCTAAAAAGAAAACCAATTTTTTGCTTCTCATCCACCAGATATAAGAAGAAAATAGAAAATTGCAGATTTAGAGATGAAAGAGATTTCAGAGGCTGTTGAATTGAACCCCCTTACTTTGTAAATGAGAAAATGAATCATAGAGAAGTTAAGTGAATTAATAATAATCATAGCACATTAAGATTTGCAAAATACTTTACAAATATTATCTCATTTGATCCTCACAACAAACCTGAGAGGTTAGATGCTATTATTATCCTCATTTTATAGATGAGGAAACTGAGGCAAACAGCAATTAAGTGATGTGACCAAGGTTACGCAGCTGAAGCTTGTCTGAAGCCAATTTGAACTCAGGTCTTGCTGACTCCAGGCCCAACTCTCTGTGTACTATGGTGCCACCTACTGCCCACAAAGCTAGTAAATGTCTGAGGCAGAATTTGAACCCAGGTTTTCTTGATTCCAAGTCTAGCTGCCTAGCCAACATAACATCTTGATTTTTGAGATGCAGAAAATTACCAAAAGAAGCTAACTTTAAATTAAAACAGCTAATACATGTCTGAGGTCAGATTTGAACTCAGGTCTTTCTGACTCCGGGCCCAGTATTGTATCCACTGAGCCACTTAGGTGCCTGCACTATTACTAGTAGTAGTACAACATTTACTACAATATTGAGAGAGAGAGAGAGAGAGACAGAGAGAGAGAGAGAGAGAGAGAGAGAGAGAAACTGAGGCTGAACTTTAGACGCGAGACTTCTTTCCTTAGATAATAAGGTTCACAGAAAGTGTGTATGTGTACACACACACATGCACACACAAATGCATATGTATGTGTATCTGTGTATATGTACATAGATACGTAGATACACATATATTACACACACACACACACACTCAGTTGTGAAAACAGAATTTATGGCCTGAACAGCAGAAATAATTGGCAGAATACAAAAACATCCATGGTGGCAAGCCTCATCAAAGAAATAAAAGATAGAATCACTGGTTGGGAATGCAAATACAGGGAAGTGAAGCACAATTAAGGAAGAGATAGAAAACACAATAACATTAAACTGAAGTATGGTCTCCCTACAAGGAAAATATATTGATCTCAAAGACAGGATGAGAAGAGAACTTAAATATGGTAGGTCTCTCAGAGGAACACTACAAGTCAAAAAACCACAACATTATAACGCCGAGAAGAATAGAAGAAACAGAACTTCTGAACCCAGAACACCAAGTGCCAGTTGAAAGAGTCTACAGATTGCCTCCAAACAAACAAAAACTATACTGCAAACTCCAGGACACGTGGTAATTAAATTTAACAATAACACTGAAAAATAATACATTATACAAGTGATGAAAAGAAAGACCTTCAGACAGAAAGGGGAAAAATTGAATTAACACAAGGCCTACCAATTTTCTCTGGAAGACATAGAGGGACAGTATACTATGGTGGAAAGGTCACTAGAATAAGAACAGGATCAGATAACCTAAGGTTTGTCCTCACTCTCTCACTGACTGCCTGGGTGACCTAGGGCAGGTTGAAGGAACTTCTCTGGACTGCAGTTTCTTTATGTGCAAAATGATCAGACTAGACTGGATTTGCTAATATGCCTTTCAACCCTAATTTTCTATGAAAAATTTAAGATGAGAGAGATGAATAATTTGTCTTGGACAATTTGAGTGATGATGATGATGATGATGATGATGATAGTTCACATTTATATAGCATTACAAAGCACTTTCCTTATAACAAGCCTGTGGGATCATGCATGCAGTATTATCCTCATGTTACAGATAAAGAAACTAGGGTCTAGGGGCAGCTAGGTGGCACAGTGGATAGAGCACCAGTCCTGTAGTCAGGAGGACCTGAGTTCAAATCTGGCCTCAGACACATAACACTTACTAGCTGTGTGACTCTGGGCAAGTCAATTAACCCCAATTGCCTCACTTAAAAAATTTAAAAAAAAAAAAAAGAAACTGAGATCCAGAAAAATCAAATTACCTGCTTAGGGTCACACAGCTAGTAAATGGTAGAGTGGGAACTACAACCCAGGAGTCCTGATTCAGAATCTACTGTATGTCACACTGAGTACAATTAAAAAGAGACAGAGACAGACAGAGAGACAGAGATGGGGGGAAAGGAAGAAGAGGGAGAGAGACAGAGATGGAGAGAGAGGGAGAGGGAGGGGGCAGGGAGGAGAGGAAGAAAGAGAGAGAGAGAGTAAACCAGATGATACCCTAGAGTTCTGAATCTTTTTTATGCCATGGACCCCTTGGGCAGTCTGGTAAAACCTATAGACCCCCTCTCAGAATAATGTTTTTAAATGCGCAAAATAAAATGCATAGGATTATGAAGGAAACCAAATATATTGAAACAGGGCTATCAAAATATGAAAATAACTCATGGACCCAAACCTAAGAGCCCCCATCCTATAGGATAGGTTATCTTCATGATTTCATGTCAAATTCCATAAGAATTCTTATGAAAAGGAGGAGCTACCAAATGTGGCCTCATAACACAATTGGAGAGTAGTAGTCCAGCTTCCCTAGGTGACATGGATGAGGAGCTGTCATCCATGTCACCATCCATGTCAGCTACTGGCCTCACCTCCAGTGGTGGTAGAGCAGGTTGAGGTGACGTCTGTTTCCTCTATCATACGTAACAGTGTCTGAGGAGCTCGAATGCTCCAATGCCGCCTCTTTTCTCCAGTAAGAACATCCTGCTTGTGAACAGCTGGAACAGGAAAATAATGAAATAATTCAGAGGTAGCCAGACTGTGGGTTTGCATAGCTCATGACGTGCATAAGAACTGCAAACCCTTCCAAGAGCTGGAGAAACCGGAAGTCAGAAATAGGTCCACTCTCATTTTATTCTATATCACAGAGACCGGTCCATAACAGCCGACGCCATACAGCACTTGAAGGTTTATGAAGTGCTTTGCAAATATCATCTCATTTGATCCTCACAAAAGCCCTGGGAGGTAGGTGCTATTATTATCGCCATTTCACAGATGAGGAAATTGAGGCAGATAGGGATTAAGTGACTTGCCCAGAGTCACACAATTAGTATTTGAAGCTGGATTTGAACTCAAGTTTTCTTGACTTCAGGTCTAACACATTATCCAGTTGCCAGGTTTTGCATTCAATCCACTATCTGCCTCTAAATCTCAGAAGAGGAAGCATCGATGGTAGTTCCTAGTATAGGATGGGGGACCAGCCATTCACTGAGACTGCAAAGTTGAGGGAAGAGAGAGGCAGAGCCAAACAACAAAGGTTCTGACCGTGAAGAACCTTTGACTAGAGCAAGGAGGAGGAAGAAGACCTTTGGCCATATCTAGGAGACAGAGGAGTGGCCATAAAGATAACCTAGCCCAAGAATCCTAACAGAATTCTGATTACCCCGGAGCCAGAAACTGTATGAGGTCCCTGAAATTTGTCCATAAACCTCCATGCTGGCTACCCTAACCAAAATGAGAGAAGATGGAGAAAATCATCTCTTTCCACATATCATATATTTTCCATTTACTCAGGCATAAGAGGGGCAATTTTCTCATTCTCATGAGAGTTTTCCCAGGAGTTGTTACTGTCTCACTAATTCCTAGAGGGGATAGTGCAGTGGATAGAGCACTGGGCCTGGAACCAGGAAGACTCATCTCCTGAGTTGAAATCTGGTCTCAGACTCTTCTTAGCTGTATGACCCTAGGTAAGTCACTTAACCTCGTTTGCCTCAGTTCCTCATCTATAAAATATGCTGACAAAGGCAATGGCAAACCACTCTAGTATCTTTGACAAGAAAACCCAAAAGGGGTCACGAAGAGTCTGAAATGATTGAACAACATCCATTTTGTATATGAGGGAAAAATGGTTCTTTCTGTTTCTGTTGCCTGTTTATTTTCCTGCATAAATTACCTTGCCTCTCTGTCTTCATTAAATATGTTGCTATTTGATTTTGGGTTCAGCATCATTTGTGACTTGAAAGTATCAATAGAATGGGAACTTGAGCTATGTTTGCATAATTAACTTAGGCCAAAACACAACAATGAACTCAAGGTAGGTAGGGACCTCAGAGGCATTTGTGGGGTTACACATAAATAAAAATAATATAGCACTTGGCATAGTGCCTGGCACATAGTAGGTACTTAATAGATGCTTATTGATTGATTAATAAGAAATTTTTAAAAACAGACAGGCTTTGTGGTTAAACCTAAGTGGAAAGATCTCATCTGTATGAATCAACAGAATTAAGTGTTCAATATGGTTTTGATTCTAAAGGCATTTTTCCTTTTTTTTTTTTTTTGGTGAGGTAATCAGGGTTAAGTGACTTGCCCAGGGTCACACAGCTAGTAAGTGTCAAGTGTCTGAAGCTGGATTTGAACTCTGGTCCTCCTGACTCCAAAGCCGGAGCTTTATCCACTGAGCCACCTAGCTGCCCCATCTAAAGGCATTTTCCCAAAAATACATAGGTCATTGGGTACATTCCATTATTAATAAAGGAGTCCTCCAAGGCAGAAGAAACTTTTGGAATATAAATGAGAGGTGCAAAAAGTTAGATTTGAATGGATAGTAAAAATATGGACTGAAATATTCTAAGAGAAAAGAAGCAAGAAATGATAAGCTACCTCTGGGAGAAAGTATAGAACCTAAGTTGCTGTTGAATCATTTCAATCATGTCCAATTCTTCATGACCCCATTTGGAATATTCTTGGCAAAGATACTGGAATGGTTTGCCATTCCCTTCTCCAGTTCATTTTACAGATGAGGAAACTAAGGCAAACAGGGTTGAATGACTTGCTCAGGGTCACACTGCTAGTAAGTATCTAAGGCCAGATTTTAACTCAGGTCCTCTTGACTCAAAGGCCAGAACTCTATTTACTGTGCCACCAAGCTGCCATTATAAAGGTAAAAGAATTATAACCACCGACTAACATGAAAATAGGTTTAATATGAATATATATGTAGAGCCTATATCAAATTACACACCATCTTGGAGTGGGGGGGAAGAGAAAGATGGGGAGAAAATTTGAAACTCAAAATCTTATGGAAGTAAATGTTAAAAACAAAAAATAAATTTATTTTAAAAAAAGAATCATAACCACTTAGGGTAGTGTTTCCCACAGTGTGTTCCAAGGAAGTCCAGTGTTCTGCGTGGTATGAATATGGGGTTCTATGAAAAAATTTCAATTTTATTAACAGTTTTCATCTAAAATATTCAATATCAAACTTATCTGTGTCAAAAATACTTATTACATATGGTAATTTAGGATGTAAAAACTGACTTACATTCTTCTATTTTGTTCCAATATTTTCCCCAACCCTTTCCTTTATCTCTGATGTGTCCCACACTCCCAGATCCCTTGGACCATCATTTATGGATTCCATATTTCAAGTATTCTGTGATTAAATTAATTTGGGGAAAAACTGTGCTGGGAAAGGAAAATTTAAGTGTAAAAGTTGAAATGTGGCCTTTAAAGGTTACAAGTTAGAGAAATAATATAGCAATCACTGTCAATAGGTATATTTCCTAGTTCTCTCCCTACTCTAGCCAGCATATCAAAGTTAATTATTTTTTTGAATACCATCTAAATCTCAAACTCCTATACCCTTTAAAAAATCATGATATTGACAGTTACTATACAGAGTCATTGAATCTCAAAAGTAGAACTGACCCCCAGAGGTCATCTAATCCAACTCCTACTCAATTATAAATCCTCTTTTTTGTAGACCTCAAGTGACAAGTAGCTCACTATTTTCTGAGGTAAACCATTCCATTGTTGGATAGCTCTGACTGTTTCTATTATATGTTTTTTAATTACAATTTAATTATAAGTTTTTATTATATGTCAGTCAACAAGCATTTATTAAATGCTAATATGTATTCTAAGTTTGCTTCCCTCTAATTTCCATCCATTGCTCCTAGATCTGTCCTCTGGGGCTAAGTAGCACAAGCCTAATTCTTCTCTGACCACAATGCTTCAGATTTTTAAGAACTACCATTTGGGGAACACTCATCATTTTATACTTTCCACAAAATTGTTAGTGATTTTTAAGTAAATCTTTCCAGGGCTTGCTTTAGCACATATGTGTAGAAGTGGACTAGTGAGAAAATGATAAGCCAAGGAGGGAAGTTTCCAGAAAGTGGCACAAGGTTGGAACACTGGGCTCTCAACACTTGCGTGCAGGGCAACGAACGATAATAAATTACAGGCCAGGAGATTATGGTCATTAGAGTGAGAATAGGTTAGAAAAGTTTTTTTACATGTGGCTAGTAGTGACCTATGGCTCCTGAGAAGCTTTGGCTTCACCTACGTCCCAGAAGGAGCTCTTCCATGATACGATACACCTAGAAAGAAGGAAAGAAAGAGAGAGAGAGAAAGAAAGAAAGAAAGAAAGAAAGAAAGAAAGAAAGAAAGAAAGAAAGAAAGAAAGAAAGAAAGAAAGAAAGAAAGAAAGAAAGAAAAAGAAAGAAAGGAAGGAAGGAAGAAAGGAAGGAAGGAAGGAAGAAAGAAAGAAAGGAAGGAAGGAAGGAAGGAAG